CTGCAGTGATTCTCAAAATTTAGGCAAGGGGAATGTGTTACTGTACCCATTCTGCTGTTCACGAAGAAGCAAATACCTCTGTTCAACAGGTGGATCCCAAACTATTAGGTCGCTGGGAAAGTCATGATTTTATTTTATTTTTTTAAAGATTTTTGCTATAGGGCATGCGGTCACCAGAGAGACAGAAAGTTAGAAATCACCCCCTAGGGGGAATGGCCATGCTGCAATCCCTTCTCCTCCATTCTCCTCTTGGGATTTTGGGCATGCATGTACATGTGCCCAGTGTGAGTTTTAAGCCACAGGGTCTGGGACTTGAACCACGGCTGACTACATGGGAGTCCAGGCAAGGTAACCATTATGCCATCTGCTGGTCCCCATGATACATTTTTCTACGCAAAAACGCGTCATGACTTTCCTGATGAACCAATACAATGCCAAGACATTTCCACAGCCCACTCACCCACTTCCTATCATTAAATTCATGCCCAACTTCTCATTTTTCAACACAACCAGGCCTTACTGTCTTTAGGGAGCTTAGATTAGATCACCATCATATTCTCTGTGATGCTCCTGTGTGTGCATGGAACAGTCTCTTGGGTAGGGCCACACATTTCAATAAGCACATACCTATAGTTCCATGCCCAAGAAACTCTGGGGAAGACCAATGTAATTAAGTGACAGAAGGCACATTCGGGGTTCCCTGGGACTGGGATTTGGGGGTGCAGACAGACAAAAAGGGGCACAAAGGAGCTTTCTGACTGATGAAAATGTACCATCTCTCAACTGTGATGACGAAGGCTATGGGGGTACATACATTAATAAAAATTCAGTGAGCTGGGTACCTGAAACGCATGCACTTTGGGGTATGTCAATTATATTTCAAAACAGTCGACACTGCTTAAAGCTTTAAAGAAGTGACTGCTCCACCTGGCATGCCTGCAAGCTCGCCCTCATTCGCACTTGCTGAAGCGGGAGCTGAGGCATGGGAGGTGTGGGTGGGGACCATGAGACCCAAGCCAGAACACTGCAGATGTGCAGGCTGCCCCAGTGCACGGAACACTCTCCAAGATGCCGGCACCGTGAGAGTGCTTGTGAACAGGAACTTATGAGGCAGCAGGGTCTGGTGACTCTGTCGAAGGTGGGGATGGAGTTCGAGATGAAGGAAGCTCAGTCAAAACCAGAGATGACAAGAAGTGGAGAAAAATGAGACTAAAGGGCCCTGACATCCCCCAAGAAGAATTTCTGCCCTTGCCTTTGTGATTCTTGATTCACATGTATTAAATAGCCCCCAAAGTACATGGCCAGAGCTAAGAAAGATGGCGGTGTCTCCATCCAAGACACTGTCGCACTGCATCAGTCTCTGGCTCCCATCCATCCTCCTGCACCCCGTATCCTTCCATCATAATCTAAAAAGCTCAACAAATCAGCTAAGGACTCAGGCCCACATGTGGACAAATGTCAATATTTTTTATCTTAAGTAATTATTTATTATTATTATTTTAAAATTTGCTAGAGGGCACATGAACTCACGAGAGAGAGAGAGAGACAGGGAGGGAGAGAGAAAGTCGTCAGGTCCAGGACTCAAACTGTGGTTGGCCGTGTGGGAGTCCAAAGCCTTGACCACTATGCCACCTGCTGGCCCTGTCCACTAATTTTTTTTTAATTGCCAGGTTTGCATAATCACACACAATGGGGGAGAGAGAGAGTGAGTGAACTTGTCACTGGGGTGTAGTTATACCACAATTCTTTCCCTCCATTTCTCCTCATTTCTCCATCCCATCAAAATTTTGGACATGCACACAAATGTGCCTGGAATGTTTTTCAACCCACCAGGGCCGGGATTTAAACTGTAACCACTGCGGTATGGGGCCAGCCCTATACCACAGTGGTTATAGCAAGAACATGCTTTTCTCAGCTCCCCATCTAACAGTAAAACGAGTGAATAGGAAGTTATCTGTCCCTCTGCCAATACTCCCAGATATGTCTTCCCTGGTCCCTGCCGCGAGCCCACCTACTAAGCAAAAGGAGCAGATGTTGGGCCAGCTAGTGGTGTGGCCAGCTAAGGTGGCTGTATATCACATGGCCGGCTATGCGGTTTGAGTCCTGGACCTGGTGGCTTGAAAAACACAGTAAGTACGTGTGTGTGCACCCAAAATCCTGAAAGGAAAAATGTAAAAGAAGGGATTGTGGCATGATCATCCCCCATGGGGAGTGCTTTCTTGCTTTCCTTCTGGCTCTCTCTGGTGAAGGCACATGCCATCTCAGAAAATCAAAAACAAAAAAGAAGGGACTCCCATGTAGTGGACCACAGTTCGAGTCCCAGACCTGGTGGCCAGCCTACTTTCTCACTTTCTCTCTCTGGTGAGCACATGTGCCCTACAGCAAACTAAAAAAATAATAATAATAATTAAATAAAATTAAATAAAAACTTATTTAAAGGGGGGTTGGCCATCCAGGTGGTGTGGTGGTTAAGGCAGTTGGGTCCCACATGGCCAATTGAGTTGAGTCTCGGACCAGGTGGCTTGAAAAGCATGCTGAGTACATGTGCATCTGTGCTCAAAATCCCAAGAGGAGGATGGAGGAGAAGGGAAAGCGCTCCCCATTTCCTCTGGGGAGTGATTTCTCTCTTCCTCTCTCTTGGGCAAGTACACACTCCTTTTAGCAAAAACCTAAACAAAACAGAAAAGAAGTGGATTTGAATCACCCCAGGAAAGGGAAGTGGCCATGGACCCTTCGCTGGCATATGGCATACGTTACCTGTCGGCACTAACAAAGATGATCTCAAATTTCTGGCCTGCCTCCTTGATCTTCCGATAGGATTCCACCAGGACCCGGGTGAGGCTTCGGCAGGGTGGGCACTGAAAGACATGAGCAGGACCCTGCAGTGTGATACCGGCTCGTTCCCCAGTCCCTCGCCAGGAGAGGCCAGGGAAGTGAGATCTAAGCAGTGTCAGACCACAAAAGCCAGCCCATAAAGGGAGGAAATAAGCTTGTTCTCTTTACTGGTGAGCACTCAGGACTGGCTCGTCCCCACCCCACGCTGTGTGCTGCAGGCTGCCCTTAGAACGAAGCCCCTCAGGGACCATTAGAAGTCTTGTCCGAATGGGTTAGAAAGAATATCCTTCAGGTCGGTCAGAATGAGTCCTTTCCTTGCGGCTATCATCACTCATAATAATGAGTACTATGGCATGCCAACAGGCGTCAGGCGCAGGGAAGGCAAGAGGGCCAGGAAATTCCTGCCAGAGCAGTCCCAAAAGTCAACCACCACGGGGTTCAGGGGTGACACCACTGCTTCCTTGTCTGGCCTAGACCAGGACCCAACACTCACCCAGTGTGCAGAGAAGTAGACCCCCACGTGAGACCCCTCCAGGCTGCTGCTCTCCAGGGACTGCCCGTTATTTCTGAGCAAAGGCCCAGCAATAACTTCCCTGAAGGGTTTAGGTCCCCAGGGGAATTCCAGACCTGAAAAGAGCAACAGGTGAGAACGTTAGGGCTCTTCATCATGGCCTTAGACGTGAGGAGGCACCGGTGTGTTTGTTAACGTACCCACAGGGTCTGCGGCTGACACAGGAGTCAGAGTGGAACTCACCTCTGGAAGAGGCCTACCTCCCCCCAGGGTGTGGTTCCAAACCCTGGATGATCACAGGATCCATCCTTCAGAGCCTTTTTTTTTTTTTTTTTTAAAGAACCATTTATTTCTATTTTATTTATTCATTCATTTATTTTAATCTGACCAGAGAGAGAGAAAGGAAAAGTGAGAAAGCGAGCGATCAGGTCCGGGGCTCGAACCATGGTCAGCTATGTGGGAGTCTAGCGCTTTAACCACCATACCACCTGCTGGCCCCTCTCAGAGGCTTTTGAAAAGGATAGATGTCCACGACATACTTTGAGTCTAGAGATCGAGGAACAAGACATAGATGTGTGATCAAAACAAAACAGGGCCAGCAGGAGGCTTGTAGGTTAAGGCACTAGACCCCACATGGCTGGCTGTGGAGTTCGAGTCCTGGATCTGGTGGCTTGAAAATTACATTGGGTGTGCGTGTATGCATGTCCAAAATCCTGAGGAGAATGGAGAAGGGATTGTGGCATGGCCTTCCCCTCCCAGGGGGTGATTTATTATTTTCCCTCTCTGTCTCTCTCTGGTGAGTTTATACACTTTATTTTAAAAAAATCCCACAAACAGGCTCCCCAGGAACTCTGATGGTGAGCCAGATCTGGGGGTCACCACTTGGAGTATTAACTGTGAGTTGGTCAGTCTGAACGCTGGCTTCTCAGTGGTCCTCAACTCTGACTGCATTTCAGAAACACTGAGGATCTTTAGGATGTACTGTTCCTATGCTCCACCCCAGAAATTCTGATTTAGCTAGTCTAGGGTGGGGCTCAGGGAACCAAATGAGAAATCTAATAAAAAAAAAAAAAGTAAAACCCACCCAGCCCAGATGGTCAGCATTCTGATGACACTTAAGCTCGAGGCAGGAGGAGTAAGTCACACCCCCCCCCAACAGAACAGTGTTTTCTCACGGGGTGGTCCTCAGACCCCTGCCTCAAAATCGCCTGGGGGTGATGGCGGAAGAAGCACCAACTTGTTAAAAATGTAGGTGGCCAAGCCCACCCTGAAACAAAAGAAGCCAAAAATCTCTAGAGGTGGAGCTAGGGATTCAGCGTTAACAATATTCAGGACTCTGTGTGTATGTGTGTGTGTGTGTGTGTGTGTGTGTGTGCACGCGCATGTGCGTGCGCATACTTGCTGACTTTTGGAAAGGTGCATGCTTAGTTCTACCCACCCTGAATTTCAATAAGGACGATTCTTTGAAGCAGGTGAAATTCTACTTTTTAAAAGGATTATTTTATTTAACTTTATTTATTATTATTGTTATTATTTTTCATTTGACTAGAGAAAAAGAGAGTGAGAAAGTAGGCCATCAGGTCTGAGATTCAAACTGCAGTCAGCCATGTGGGAGTCCAGTGTCCTTAACCACCATGCCATATGCCAGACCCCACAGGTGAAATTCTTCTTTTTTTTTTGGAGAGGTTTTTGCTATAGGGTGCGTGCACTTGCCAGAAAGACAGAGAGACAGAAAGCGAGAAATCACCCCCAGGGGGGATGGCCACGCCGCAATCCCTTCTCTACATTCTCCTCTCGGGATCTTGGGCACACACGCACACGTGCCCGGCGTAGTTTAAGCTACTGGGTCCAGAACTTGAACTGCGGTTGACTACATGGGAGTCTAGTGACAGCCATTACACCAACTGCTGGTCCCCTGCAGGTGACATTCTTACTGGGAAGATTAGTGATCAGGGTTTAATCCTTGAATTGGATCAATGGAGGTGGAAGACAGTGGCACGATGGTAAAAGGTGACACTCTCCAAGGCAATTTCGCATGGGAAGGAAGGTTCCTGGTTTAAGTTTGGAGACCTCCCTGAGTGTTCCAGGTACACGCTCGTCCATGATCCAGAGCTGGCTGAGGTTGGAGGTGGATCACAGAGTCAGGACCCTGCTGGATGTCATTCTGTCTGTCTCTCTCTCGGTCCATCTTTCTCACTCTTGGAAGAAGTAAATAAACTTAAAAAAAATAATAAAATAAAAGAGAAAGAAAGAGATAGAAATAGACATAGGGGAGATCTTACAACCCTTTTATCACTCCAGGCAAGGGGGTTAGAAGCAGACATGGAGTCATGGAGTGTGGTGGTCAGAACAGCCCACCCTGTGCAAGGCGAGCCGGCCAGCAAGGTCAAGGCCTGCAGGACTTAGGTAGCACCGGGAAACGACATGGTCATTGATGCTGGCACCAGCAGAGAAACACAGAGACTGCACCTGCTACGGTACTGTTTGAGAGTCCCCCTACACCTTGCTCTTAGCCTGCTTCTAATTGTTAAGGTGATAACTGCCATCAAAATAGCATTAGAGGGTCAGCCAGGTGGCATGGTGATTAAGGAGGCTGGATCCCACATGGTCAACTGTGTGGTTCGAGTCCCAGAATGGTAGTTTGGAAAACACACCAGGTGCACGTGCATGCATGCCCCAGATCCTAAGAGGCAAATGGAGAAGGGACTGCAGCATGGTTATTTCCCACGTGGGTGGTGATTTAGCTCTCTCTCTGTCTTTCCCTGGGGAGCACGCTTGCTCTGTAATTAAAAAATAAATAAGAAATAGTATTAGAAGTCAGTATTCAGGCTCAAGGCTTTTTCAATAGCCTTCCTGGCCCTCAAAAGCTGACCTGTCTTTTTCACATTCCATCTCTTTTGGCCAGTGAATTAAAATCCCCAGGAGGGACATTTTGATTCATTTAAAAAATCTTAACCATGACCTAGAGTATACAATAATTCCATCAAGACAATGTTTTCTATCCACGTAAGCTCACTTACATGTATTTCATTAGTACTCCTTCTACCAGCGGGGAGGAGGTTAAGGTAGGGGCACGGAAGGGTAGTTGGGTAACGGTACGGAAGGTTTTACCTTCTGGGTCATCGCGGATCACTAGGAGCCCATTCCTGCACACGACCTTCCCGGTGGTGGCGTCTAGGAATATTAGTGATGGAATGTTGGAAATGCGGTATTTGTTCCAAAGTTTAAGCTGCAAAAAGAAAAATAAAAGAAGAGGGCTAAATGAATGGGATACATGAATAAAGTACACATACTTGAATAACTGACCCAAAGCAGGACAGCTGGGCAAAGGGGACCGTTCACTACAATACCACGTGCCCCTGTGGTAACAGTCCGGAGGACCCCGAGTCTCAGCCAGCCTCAAGTCACGACAGGCTGATGGGAGATCACTTCTCCTACCTCTCCTAAGGAACTTTCTCTTAAAAAGCACAAAAATGAAGATGAATCACACATCTTGAGGACACAGTCAGATCCCCAGAAGGTGTTTAAGGAAGAATGTTACACTCGTCATTACAGTCTCTCACCCTATTGGCAGCCAATGGCAGCCAGTTGCTCCGTCATGTCCCCTTAGCCCTGAAGAAGAAAGACCAAGTAAAATAACTAGACCCAGGGAAGGTCCCGGGTTTGCATCCTGAGGCCTCCCTGTCATGGAAGAAATTTAAGAAAATATTACTTTTTTTTTTTTTTTCTGGGGGGGGGGTAGGTTTGCTTTTGTTGTAGGGCACGTGTGCTTGCCAGAAAGACACAGAGAGACAAAGAGACAGAAAGTGAGAAATCACCCCCCAGGGGGGATGGCCAGGCCGCAATCCCTTCTCCTCCATTCTCCTCTCGGGATCTTGGGCACGCGTGTACACACGCCTGGTGTGGGTCCAAGCCACTGGGTATGGGACTTGAACCGTGGTCAACTATATGGGAGTCCAGTGACATAGCCATTACATCAACTGCTGGTCCCGAAAATATTATCTTAAAAAAAAGAGAAATCTGCCTCTCAGCACTTCACCAGGTCTCTGCACACAGAACACCACGGTCATCGTCTGCGTGTGCTGCTGGGCCTGCCAAACTCCAGGGCAGCGATATCCGGAACCAGCCCCAGCCCTCGCTCTCAGAGCTAGCTACTCCAGTCTTCAGGCTACTGGCAGATCCTCAAGGTTGGCTGCGCAAACTGTAGAGGTCCAGGGCCTGAGAAGAATGAGGCTGAGGAAACGGAGGCAGCAGCCAGGGCTAGAGGTCAGGTCTGTGTGGGGTTCCATGTTTGCTCACTGCCATCGGGGGAACATGGTTTAGGTGGCCCACTGGGTTCTCGGAACTTAACTGCCAGGCCCCAAAAAGCTGCATAACTACATGAAATACACTCCCAGAAAGGAAAGGGACAAAGGAAACTGCAGAATGGCCTGGCCTAATGGTTAGGCCTTTCGAGGGCCCAGGGCTCAGACAGGAGGGCTGGCACCTGGGCACCTGCAGAATGGGCAGGAATGTGTCAAAGCTAAACAGGCCTCAGGGGCAGCTCCATGATGCATGTAATACACTGTTCAAGATAAGCCAGATTCTACACAGTGACTGTGGTTCAAATCCCTAGGCAAGATGGCCTGAAACACACTATGGGCTAGAGAAATGGAGGAAGTGGATCTCAGTGCGATCGGACCATATGGAGGGTGCCCCTCTCTCTCTCTCTCTCTCATCCACAATACACCATCATAAATAAAGAAAGAAATTAGGCACAGGAGGCTGGCTTCACTCAGCCCTGGGAAAGGCACATGGGGCCGTGGTTATTACTGCTGTTAATTCAATCCCATGCAGCAAGGGAGTAGGGCGGGGTAGGTGCCAAGAAATTCTAGGCCCCCTATCCATGGAGGCCTGTATCTTGGCAAGGATTGTGGAACTCTCCCTCCCCACACAGGGTGGGCCAGGCCTTCACCACGCACATTTTCCCACCCCTGCATTTCCGGTGGGCTCACAAAACCTGCTGGGAACTCAGAGGAAGGGGGACTCTGCACAGTCTCAATGACCACGCCTTCATCATTCCAGGGAAACTCACTAGGAATGTGGATTAAACACTTTTTTAAAAGTTTATTTATCTCTGTGGGGGTTGAGGGAGGGAGGGAGGCATCCTAATAGCATCTTCCCATCATGAATCTTCCCCCAGCCTCAGCCAGGCTGCATCCTGGGCACCTGGGTACTCGCCCAGCATGTATGGGAGGTACTAGGATGTGAACCCAGGACCCTCCCATGTAGGTTGAGATGTGTTACCATTGTGCCACTACTTCGCCCCCCACTGTCCTGATTAAATACTCTGGAGAAGGGATTAAGACTGGCCCAAGGCCTGGTGGTTATAGGAGTCAGACCCCAGACGGCCTACAGACAGCTTGAGAAACACGCCAGGTACGTGTGTGCACTTGAATCCTGACGGGTGGGGAAACGAAGGGACGGTGGCATGAGCATTCCTGTGAGGGGTGTTTTCCTCTCTCTCTCTCTGGTGAGTGTATGTTCCTTCTGGCAAAATATTAGAGAGAGAAAGGGCAAGAGAAGGACCTCAACGGCAGAAGAAAACCATCCTGGCACTGAGGTTAGTTGGTAAATTTGCTGTGCAAGGATCCAGTCACGTAAATTTCTTTTAAAAAAAAAAAAAGATGATTAAGATTTTGGATTTTTCTGATTTAAAAAATGATTCTTGAAAAAAAGGGAAGTAAAAGGACCAGCAGTTAGCGTAATGGCTATGTCACTGGACTCCCATGTAGTCGACCACAGTTCGAGTCCCAGACCTGGTGGCTTAAAACTCACACCAGGTGCGTGTGCATGCGTGCCCAAGATCCCGAGAGGAGAATGGAGGAGAAGGGATTGCAGTGTGGCCATCCCCCCCGGGGAGTGATTTCGCGCTTTCTCTCTCTGTCTCTCTCTGTCTTTCTGGTGAGCGCACGTGTCCTATAGCAAAAACACTTCCCCCCAAAAAAAAATTTAAAAAAGGGAAGTAATCATTGGGGGGAAATGGGGGAAATGGGGAAAATGGCAAACCATAGAAACTGAGATAAAACCCCCATGACTCAGCATAGAGGAATGCTCAGATCATTTTACAATCCCACTTAGAGGCAAGTGAGGGGCTCCTTTCCTAGGGACCCTCACCATATGGTCACTACCATTAGGTTTTCCTTTTTTCTTTCTTTCTTTTTTTGCTACAGAGCACATGTGTTCACTAGAGTTAAAAAGAGACAGAAAAAGAGAGAGGGAAAAAGTAAGAAAGCACTCCCCAGAGGATATGGCCATGCCACAATCCTTTCTCCATTCCCCTCTTGGGATCTTATGCACGTGAGTACAAATGCCAATGGGTGTTTTTCAAGCTATGTTTTTATAAAGCACCAGGTCAGGGATTCAAACCACGCAGTCAGCTATGTGGGATCCAGATACCTTAACCTTTGCACCACCTGTTGGCGCAGTTTTTCCAATTTGATAGGAGAAAATACCTTATTTTTGTCACTTTTCTTTTGCCTACTGATGTTTAGGAGACATACTGTTGTAAATACACTGTTTTTCTCCCCTGGTATATTTTGCTTTGCTTTTAGTTTTTGCTATAGGGCATGTGTGCTTGCCAGAGAGAGACACACACAGAAAGAGAGGGAGAGAGAAGTGAGAGATCACCCCTCTGGAGGATGGCCCAGCCACAATCCTTTCTCCTCCACTTTCCTCTTGGGATTTTGGGCACTCATGCATGTGTGCCCAGCAAAGCCCCTGGGTCTAGGACTTGAGCCTCAAAGTCAGCACGTGGGATCCAGTGTCTTAACCTCCACGCCACCTGCTGTGCCCACCCTCAAGTATGTTTTATAACTCGAAATATGTAAGTGCTGAAATTCACTCAACAGATATTTCCTGAGCACCTACTAGGTGCCAGTCTTAAGCACAAGAGAAACAGGTAAGAATGAGACAAGTGAAGTTGATGCTCTCATGGAACTTCTAGTCTAGAGGGAGAGACAAACAAATATGCATGGAAAAATCATTTCAGATGCTCACAAGGAAGAGCAAGACAGCACAGGAGGGTATACACATTTTAGAGTGAGCACTTGGGGGACTGTCTCTGGGTAGGTGGAGTTATGAAAACAGCTGACCTAAATTTATACTCTTCAGTCTGAATAGGAAACATGCTACTTGCAAATAGAGACAATTCTACCTTTCCTTTTCCTTCTTTTTTTAATTGCTAGAGGGTGTGTGCACTCATCAGTGATAGAGAGACTGAGAGAGGGAGAGGAGAAAGCGCCCTCAGAGGTGCGTGGTTGCACACATACCCAGTATGGTTTTCAAGCCACCTGGGCTGGGATTTGAACCACAGACAGCTATGTGAGATCTGGCTCCCTTAATCATTAGGCAATGGGGCTGGCCTCTACCTTCTTCATTCAACAATAATTATTTAATTTTATTTGTTATTATGATTTTAAATTTGTTTTAGGACATGTGTGCTCAACAGAGAACAAGAATGAGAGCAAGAGAAGGAGGGAGGGAGGGAGGGAGGGAGAGAGAGAGCAAAGCAAGCTGCCAGGCCCTGGACTCAAATCTCAGTCAGCCATGTGAGAGTCCAGTGCTTTAACCACCATACCACCTGCTGGCCCCACAAGCTGCCCTTTTCTATAGAACTATACTGGCTGGAACTTCCAGAATAATTATTAAGCAGTAAGCATCATTATCTATGTACCTGAGTATAATGGATAAATCTGTAATATTTTACTATTAAATATAATATTGGCCCCTGGATCAAGACAGGGGCTAACATGTCTATAACATGACAAGAAAAAATAAAGACTTTGATAAACTTTTTGATTAGAAAGTTTTTTGTTTTTTCGTTTTGCTATAAGGTGTACTCACTGCGGGGGGGGGGGGGGGAAAAAAAATCAACCCCCTCCCGCAGGAGGGATGGACACACTGCAATCCCTCCTTCTCCATTCTCCTCTTGATATTTCAGATATACATGCATATGTGCCCAGCGTGTTTTCAAACTGCAGGGTCTGGGACTAGAACTATGCATATCAGCTATGTGGGATCCAGTTGCCTTAACCACCACACCACTCACAGACCTAGCCAGTACCTTTTAAGACTCTAAAAATAGAGATGCTATCTCTTCTTGCCAGAATCTTCAGATAACGAAGAACCCAATTTCTTCTGGGTCTCTCACACAGGCAGAAGGACTCCCTGCCCTGCCCCAAAGCACCC